GTAAAGAAATTATAGCTACATTGGTTTAATAATAGAGCTATTGGAGACCCATTTTTTTCATAAGTGTATAGAAAGGAAAGGAGGAAGGAAAGAAGTGAAGGAAGTTAAATCTGGAGAAAAAAAAAAAAAGCTGTGGATAATTACCAATGTACCAATGCAGGGATAGAATCTTATTGATCTTTGATTATATCCAGGTGGTATTTAAAATATTTAGCAACAGGTAAGTCATGAGTGCCCACCTATCAAAATCGATACCAACTGTAAGCAATTGATAAGGCCATAATGGCTATCATTGGATTCTGCCATTACCTTATAGCTTTATAAGCGCCTCCCCTATGCTTATAATGCATAATGCTTTTCAAATACCCTTTCCCATCTTGGTAATCCCATCTTTTCATTTCATTTTTAATTAAAGCAATATATGTACATATCTCAAATAAAATATTCCAGAAGGGCTTAAAATGTAAGAAAAAGTTATTTGCCTCATTCTGACTCTAATTCTGCTCCCAAGAACCAACCACTTTTTAACAGTTTTGGCTGTTTCTTCTGGTAGCTGCTTCTACTAAATATATTTATCTCTAAATAATTTTTATATTTCATTTCTTGATTTACTAATTAGATATACTATACTGATTTCATTCATGTATTACCATTTCTTGGTTTTTAAATTTTAGATTATGTTGACTTCCACTATGAAATATAAGAATCTTTAGCTCTCTTTACCCCTCACTCTCCGCTTACTGACAGCACTCTTATATGTATTTCTTATCCAAAAGAGTAATGATTTAACTGCTCTTTATGCCTGGCATAGTATCATTGTCAGAAAGTCATTTTTGCCATCATCTTGATGCTTCCTTTCATCTTTCTCTTGTATTCAATCTCCTGTTTCCTGTATTCCATATCTTTCTCTCTTGCTTTACTTCCTTATTTTGAAGGGAGTAAATAGGATAAAATTGTATCTTGGTAACTTTCTAAGTAATAGCATGTGGGAAATAATCTTTTTTGGTAACTTGATTGTTAGTGAAATGGATGTAAAATTCTAAGTTGGAAATAAATTTTCTTCAAATAAGGAATAGCTCTTCTTTTCTAGCTCTAAAGCCATTATGATCTACGTAGATGACTTTTTAATTTCTGGAAGCTTGCTTCCAGTATTCTGAAATTTTACAATAATGTGCCTTAGGCTGGATGTGTTTTCATTCATCATGCTAGGAACTCTGTAGGCTCTTTTAATCTGAAAATTTACATCTCTTCATTGTGGGATATTTTCTTGAATTACCTCTATTATGCTTTCTTTTCCTCCATTTTCTCTATTCTATCTGTGCTTCTATTATTCCAGTGTTGAATTTTCCAAACTGGTCTTCTACTGGTTCTCTCCTAGTTTTCATTTTACCTTTCTGCTCTTTTTTTTTTTTTTTAAGCTTTTCAACGTTATCTTCAGTTCTTCTACTAAGCAGCTTCTACTATTTTAAACTCCAAGAATTCATGTGTGTTTGTGTGTGCGCGCATGCGCATGTGTGCACGTGCATACTGTTCTGTTGCTTATTTTAAAAGCATCCCAATGTCTCTTGAATACCTTGAATGCAATAGCTTCTATTATCCCCTGATGTTATTAATGATAGTATTCCCCCCTCAAGTTGATTTATGCTATTTGTTTTAGTATTTGATCTCATATAAGACGATTTTCTAGGGTTTTTTCATAATGCTTGGTTGCCTATTTGAGGATGGTGGGGTGAAAAGGCTGCTTGAAGCACATGTATTGGGCTTAATGATCAAGGTTGCACTGTAGACAGACCAAGCCAAAGATTGCTTAGGGATCAGCATCTTAGTCTTTCCTCCAGGGCTGGACACATTTCCCAGGTAATCTTCTTCCAGTATCCTACTTGGGGGGTAAAGACCTGGCTCTCAAGAGAACACACACACACACACACACACACACACACTCTCCTCCTATTTTTATACTGAATCCTGAGCTCAGTAGTAGTTGGCATCCCTTAATCGAGAAACTCTTCTGCTTTATTCTCCCCAGAGAACAAACTAACTGCACAGGCATTCCAGAGTTTTCACAGCTTCTTAAATGGCTTTCAACAAATTCTACTTATTTTACTACTTATCTTTCCTTTGCCCCACTAAGGTACCAGCTACTGCTATTTCCTGAGCCTTTTAAAATTCCTGCAGTGCAAACTGGATTCACTCTGGACTTCCCATTGCAGGCAGACGATAAAACTGCTGACTCAGTCATTACATTTACATCAGTATTCAAAATAGTTCAATATGGATTTATACTTAAAATACTTAAAACAGACAAACCACAGTCCTTTATCATAGTCTTAGGTATGGGATGGAGTCAAGTTAGATGTGTTTTTCAATCTACCTCTGTAGAATTTATTTTTTGTTTTTCACTTCCCCAAATGACTTAAGTCCACCTGTCATAATGTGTAATTACCTTGGTGACTCTGGGCAAAACACTTAAATAGATATAAGGGACCAAAATGTCTGCACTTCATATCATTTGACTATTGTGGAAAATAGATAAAAAGATGTGTGGTACTATATTAACAATAGTACTATATAAGGTACAGTATTAATCTAAGGTTTCTGTGTCTTCTTATAGGAGGATACTATTTCACTATTTGTAGGGGGATTTATTTTTCCGTCAAACATGCTGCACTGTATGATGATCTCTCCTTGTCCCTCCTTTACAAGTCAGCTTTTGGGTTAGTCACACAGTGCACAGATTTATGCTTCCTCATGACAGGTGATCATCAATTCACTAAATGAGATGTAATAAACTAATGACTGCAGGCTCCTTATGTTCTAACCAAAGCAACGACTTTATGCTGTTCAGATATGTGCTCATCATGTGTATGTGTAACTGGGTATGAATTTTTCATATAAATATTTTATATCTCCTTCCAGGCATCTGGATTATGATAACAGCAAGTCAGCAGGCCACATTATTCAGAAGAGAAAGTAAATTAATATTCCTGAGAAAAGAGAAAATTAGATACTACTTGAGAGGATGAGGCATTCTGCTTCTAATGAGAAACAACTTTTGATTTAACACACTATTCTTAGCTTTAAGTCTTTGGTAAATATTAAGCTTTTTTTCCGCCCCCCCCACACCTTCAAAGGCTTAAAGCACCACACAGGTAGCTTGCAGGCCCCCTGCATTTCCCAAATGCTATAATTCTACCACAAATTGGGATTCAGGAAACCTGGATGCTAGTCCCAGCTCTTTTCCAAACCGGCTATGTGATCTCAGGCATGATAATTCAGGCCTGCTTGGACTCTTCGTCTATAAAACAATAATTCTTATCCTTCTTTCACCAGTGATTTCCTATTGCTGGCACAGGAGGAAAGTAAATAAATCAGAAGTAATTTATTCATTCAGACAACTGTAATTTATTTTAAATACTAATTTAAACATTTTTTGGTCTCAGTACCACAATTAATTTAATTTGAATACCCATCAACTACATGGAAATCCTAACTCTAAAAAATATCAGTTTTATCAAGAAATACACGGAATACTGTAAAAAAAAATACAAGGAATACTGTAAATGCACTTCTCTTTAATCTCAAATTGGCAGATGATTTAAGACTCCCATCTAAATTAGTCTTTTTTAAAATCTTTAGATTTGAAATTTCAATGAAAAGGCTTTGTGGGTGGAGTGTGAGGTACAGAATCTTGCTTTCAATTTTTTATATTTCAAGTGATGAAGATCTCATCTATAAGATAAACTATTTTTTTGTAAAAATTTCATTATTTGTCATATTGGTCCTTCATAAAGTAAGCTTATTGTACTGCAGCAACAGGATTTTTCTACCTCCTAGAGGAATGTTTTAATAAATTAAATTGGCAATTAAGCTGGTTTCAAGATAAAAATGAAAGAAGGGGGTTTCTTATCCTACTCATAATTACCATAATATATTTATGGGGTAGGATTTATGATCTGCATGCTTTGATCTATTGTGCCTTGGTTCAAATCTTAGCTTTTGTCACTATCTTGCTCTATGGACTGTAGGCAAGCCATTTAATTAGGGGTCAGCCACCTCACTTCCAATGTGTTGTGAAGATAAAATGTTAACAAAAGTATTCTAAAAAGAAAAAAGGAAATTTAATATACAAATATTGCTATTGTGGCTAATTATCTCAATTATTTAAGTGCCTGCTTGGGGTTGAGAGGGCTGAGGCTCTACTCTATTGTATTTTATTCCATTAGTTTCTTTCAGATCCCCATCCTTTCTTTTACAGAGCCAGAGGCCCAAGGTTGCCCATGCATTAATCCATACACTTCACCATCACCGGAAATAACCTCCTTATTAATGTTTCTCAGGCCTTGCTTTAAACCAGACCATGTATCTGTCATAATGTAAGACTCATATTCTCTACTTTTTACGTTCACAAGCTTTTTCTCTAATGAGGCAACATCAAGAACATCAAGAACAGAAACCTATCTGGCAGATAAGGACGCACGAGTAGATAAGAACCACAGCTCTCTAATGGCTTTCTAAACCTACAGGTGGGAGTTGCTCATATCCAGCAGTGACAGAGAGCAGATGAAGTCAGCTGTTCTCAAAAGCACAGAGTCTGTCATGCACTCTCTGTGAGGCGTCATTCCTTAACAGTCTTTTCGCTATAAAAGCGCCTGGAAATCAGAAAGGAGTTCGAGGGAAAAAATGGAAAATCCCTAGTCACAAGCCTCGGTGGTGTTCTACTATATCTTACACAGGAAACTGACTAGGGGGTGGGGCTGGCTTGCATTTGAGTACTTGGTTTTGCCACACAGTGCCAGAACTGGTAAGGAAGGCTTCGGAGGGCCTTGCCTCCGATCGACTTAGGCGTTTACTCAGGGAAAGGAGAAACAGTAGTGGTGTTTCTGCGAAGTGGCAAAACAAGCCCGTTTACAGCCACGCACGTCTGCAACATGCATCCCTCGAACAGTTTTTCCCAATCCCTTCCCTTAAAGAGAGAGCGCGCGCCCATGAGGGCCCATTACCATCCTGCAGGATGAGGGTGGGCTGCACCGCCTGCACTCGGAACTGCCTGGCTCTCCAGCCCGGGCTGGGCGCCCGCACCACCTCACTGTCGGACAGCCAGGTCACGGTCTCAAAGTTGTCCCCGCGAGCCAGCGCCTCGGCCTCGGCGTGATGCACGGCCACCCGGTCAAACTGGTAGAGGCCGCCGGAGTGGTCGAAGTGCACGTGTGTGGCCACCGCCAGCAGCGGCCGGCACGCCGCGTTCTCTTTGGCCCCGTGATCCTGCAAGAGGCCAGAGGAGTACAGGTACTCCGGGAGGCTGCGCAGCCCCAGGCCCGTATCGATCACCACATCCTGCTCGGAGCCACGCACCAGCCAGATGTTGGCGCGGTTTCCCGACTCATAGAAGCGTTCCTGAATCCAAAAGATGCCGTCGCCCAGGGACTTGTGGGCGTACCACTCGAGCGCGGACATGCTGGGCAGGGGTGCGGTCTGGCGGAGTTGGCGTAGGCGTGTGTGCCTCCCGCAAGCTGTCCAGACGCGAGGCGCTGCTGCGGTGTGGAGCGGTCAGCCCGCAGCAAGGGAGGGGGCGCAGAGCGAGGAGAGGGCGGGGGATCCGGGAGATGCGGGCTTGGGCGAGGGGGTGGGGAGAACTACGGGGAAGGACGCGCCGAGTCGCGGCCTGGAGAGTCTGCACGCACCCTCCAGCCAGGTCCGCAGAGCGCGGCGGCTCCTCTGCCTGCACCTTAGGCGCTGGGGTGATCTTGGCTTCTGTAGCTGCAGCACAAGGGAGCGTTAATGCAGGGGCACTGCTGCAGACTGGAGACCCGAAAGGAATTACTTTTTTCACCCCGGGGGTCTGACTGCAGAGGCCAGAAGCAAGGCGGGGGAGGCGCCAGGTCCTCCCACCCACTGCACTCCGCCAAGCGTACTTCCAGCCAGCGCCGAAAGAGTCAGGCCAAACCGGATGGGGGAGTACGGCGCCTGCCAAGGGCTAAAAAGCTCCTCGCCCAGGGGGCGGGGCCTGGCGAGGGAGTGGGCGGGACTGACTGGTCGGGAGCAGAACAGGGCTCCGAGCCCGCGTGGAGGGCGGAGCGCGCTCCTCTAGAGGTGGAACCGGTATCCGCGAGCTCGCGCCTTCTGTGTGCACCCCTTCCTTGCCGGCCGGCACTTCGGCTGCACGGTTTTACCCAAGCCTCGAGACAGTGAGCAGGTAACAGAGGGAGCAATTGAGGGGTAGGGAGGAGATGGAGAGGGTAAAGGGAAGTTAAAGGGGCACATATGGGGAAGGTGGGGGAAGTCAGAGTTGGAGATCCTTTAAAGCGTTTCAGGATTGAGGGGCGTTGGGAGATAGCTTTACCTTCCCTTCTTCTAATCCCTTCAAAATCTTTGAAAACCGCCTTTTCCCGATCTTAACTGGTCTCCACTTCCTGGGACTGTTTGCAGTGAGTTAGAAGAGAATTTATGCTGTAACTGATGGTAGATTTTCAAATCTGGGGACTGTGTGATTGGTTCAAGGCACGAGTCATTGCCGCAGACTTGCTGCTGAGGACAGACTATTCAGAATGTTTTCTTAACTCTTGGCACTTTTACCCTGTATCGTGGGGAGAAGGGTTGTTTATAACGTCTTAATGATCTTACAAAAAATGAAATTCTGTATTTCTTCCCCTACCCTCCATATTTTTGGTTAGTTTGTCCTCTCTTACAGAGAGCAAAGAAAGTTGGTAGAAAAGGCTCAACTAAGTAGAGGTGGAGGCAGTCGCACCTTGTGAGAACAGAAAACGTGGATAATGTCTGGGTGTGGCCTAGCCAGCCATATAAATCACCCCCACTGTTAACACCAGATCCCTGTATCCACCTAGCACCTCCCAGGTATTGAAACATCAAGTTAGGCTTCAAAAATTCCCTTGAGAACTTGAATAATTTTAGTGATACCCATGAGACAGCATTGTAAAAATTAATTATGAAAACCCTTATTGTGGCAGCTACTAATAAGGCTTCATAGGAGAGATGTACTGTCCTCTCCTACACTCCTAAAGCTTTTGGTGGAGATGTAGCCTTCCTGAATATTTTCTTCATCTAGTTAGAATTTATCCAGTCAGTCTGTTTGGGGCTATCCTTACATGCAAGCCCCAGAGCTAAATGATCTGTGAGAATAGTATTGGGTGGGAAAAAAAAAAAAGAGAGAGAGAGAGAGAAAGAAAGAAAAGTCATGATCTGGGTTCTCAAGAACTTGAGGGAAGATAATATTTATGCACAAATATTTGCAGTATAAAGCAGTATGGTATATATACCACAGAGGAAGTAAGAACTATGTGCTCTAAGGAAAAGGATTGTTGAAGAGTAGCATTTGAGCCGGACTTAAAAAACTACTGTTTGTTAGGATGCTCTCAGCTAGGAAGTACAGAGCTTTCTGTATTTTGGACATTTTTCCTATAGGCAGAGGGAAACCACTATAGAAGAAATGGAGGGATATCCTTACTAGGCCATGAGCTCAGCAATAATTGACCCAGTATTTGTTGGACTTTTGCCAGGCTCTGGTTAGTGATAGAGCATGGAAATGTAAGTCTTCAAGGAGGCCCTCTGAACGCCACAACAGCAGAAACTTTGTTTTGTTCACTACTGTATTCCCAGTATATGGAAGATGGTCTGAGACAGAGGGTGCTTAATAAATACTTGATGAATGGTTAATTGTAGGGCTTACTGGAGAGACAGACAAGAACTGGCAGTCACAACATGATCTTAAAAAGGGTAATAAAAGCAGTGTAGTACTTAGGAAACAGAGAAGGGAGAGATCTGTCTTCATGTTGGGTGGAGAAAATGGTCACAGAGAAGTGTCATTTGCACAGCTGCTTAACTGATGCCCCTTCAATGATTCCAGGGGTTGCCCCGGTGGATGCAGGAGGAAGGCACTCCAGGCAGAAGGAACGCCTCATGCAAGAGCTGATGTAGGAGAGTTGAGAGTGGCTAGAGACAGTGTGCAGGGGGTAAGAGACAGAAAGTTAGAACCAAAGCTTTATTGGTTAAGGAGAGTGACACACCAAGGTTTATGCTCTAGAAAGATGACTGGGGAGTGGGTTGAAAGGGGGAGGCTGGCAGTGGGAATTTATCTGTTCTGTGTTAGAGACCAGGTTAGAGACAGTATAGGCCTGAACAAAAACAGAGTACAAGGAAGGTGAACCTGTAAGAGAGGATACAGCTAATATTCTTCTATGAGCAGAGCAGTGAAGATGGAGAAGGGGTCAGAAGATGGAGAAGTTAGTCAGGTTCTGATTGGGACAATTTAGGTGTCATCATCAGGAAAGATGCTGTAACCTGTCTTTTGGTGCCTCCCCCAGCTTCCATGCCTACTTTTATGCGATTGTACATTCGTTCACCTAGCTAATATGTACAAGGGTCAGTGTGAGGCTACGGTCATAACTCATAAAACATTAGCCCTAGGTGGACTTTCAGATGGAATTCCTTAGCCTCTGATGGAATGTTGTCTGTAGTCCAATAGAATGGGCTTTGCATTTCAGCTCTTGGATGCTTGAACAACACCCATCAAACCAGCTCAGAACAGTTCTGAATAAGACTTTTCTGGAGGCATTCCAAAATGGAAGGATGATGCTTCCGATTTTACACTTCCAAATTCAGTCAGTTTTGCCATTGCTAACTCACGTCTTTGTAAAGATTAAAGGTATCTGTGGGATTAAAAAGTCTTCAACTAGCCTGGAAATGTGTTTCAGGTAGTGTAATGTGGATGAATGGACAGTGGAAAGGTACCTGAGGCTTTACCTAGTTCTTTCTTTGTTAGGAATTAACTGTGTGTCTTTAGGCAGTCAGCTTTCTCACGGCTTCACTTTCTTCTTTTACAAAATGTGAAGTTTAATAGGAAGCAGTGCTTCTTTTCAAAAAATGTTTTAATGATTATTTTTGAGAGATAGAGTGTGAGCAGGGGAGGGGAAGAGCAAGGGAGTCACAGAATCCAAAGCAGGCTCCAGGCTCTGAGCTATTAGAACAGAATCCGACACATGACTTGAACTGCGAGATCATGACCTTATCTGAAGTCAGTTACTTAACCGACTGAGCCACCCAGATGCCGCAGGAAGCAGTGATTCTTAATTTGGGCTATATGTTGTAAACTCTGGGAATGCTTTAAAAAGTCCTAATGCCTGAATCCTATCTCCAGAGATTCTGATTTTGTTATTCTGGCGTGAAGCCTGAGTTTTGTTCTTAAATTCTGATGATTCCAGGGTACATCCGGGTCTCCAACTTTATAGTTCTGGAAATTTAAAAGAAAACAACAATGTTAATAGTAGGATGACTGAACTGTACTTCTTTGGGTAGATTTTGCTCATGACACCATATGAAAGAAAGAAAAGAAGGAAGAGAAGAAGGAAGGAAAAGAAAGAGAAAGAAAGAGAAAGAGAGAGCTTAACATTAATTGTGGAGCTGTTGCTATATAGAGAGCACTGTGCTAGACAGTGGGGATATAAAACTCTACTGTTAAGATGGCCGAAGAAATAAACAAACAAAACATAAGTGAAACTCCTTGCCTTTGGAAAAGGCCCATTCCCCAAAAGGCATATTGTCTCTTTCTTCCAAAATGGAAGAGTGGCAATATGTAACACCTCAATTTTTAAAAATTCATTTATTTTAATGGGAGGATCTTTATGAGGTCAAGGTGGGTGAAGCAACCACTGTGGATTTTGAGGGACTTAAACTGGATCTTCAGGTGAAAGGGGCTACAGTCAAGCACGGAGGAAGAGGGGGTAGATCACAGTGGAGAGAATGGTAAACAAGACATGGTGATACAAGGAGTCAGGAGGACTGGTGCAAGCATCTTAAAAGGGCCCTGAACACTTGGATAGGGAGTTTGGATTTAATTCTGTAGCCAAGAGGGAAGATGAGAAGACCAGCATGATCAGAACTATGGCTTAGGATGAATAATGTGGAAGAATAAAACAAATAGGAAGAACAAGTGATACCACAAAACTTGCAGTTACTCAAAAGTGATGTGGAAAGAGGTTAAACTGGATTATGGTAGAAGAAATGGAAAGGAAGGGACATTTTGAAGGAAGAATTAGGGATTGATTCCATAGGAGAAGAGAACAGAGTGAGGAGTCGATTCTGATGCACTCCAAGTCATCAAATGTTGGTGAGCGGGAAAATAACATACTGTGGATAGAAACAGGGACATATTACCTGAAAGGCAAGCCAGTTAGTGTAGGGGAAAGATGATCTCAGTATTTTAAGTTTAAAGTGCTTTCCAAATATTCTTTTGATAGTGGGAACATGGGCTCAAACTCAAAACAAAGGTCAGTGTTGGAGACAATAGTATGGGAGAGGTCATCAAACCCTGAGTGCCAGTGTGTTTTCGAAAGACCAAAAAAAAAAAAAAAAAAAAAAGCAGAAGACCAAAGATTGAACCTTCAGGAAATTTATATTTAGGAGGTTTAAGAAGAGAAGTAGCCAATAACAACAACAATAACAACAAAATCGCAGAGTTTTAATAAAGCCTAGGAAGGAGATAATTTCAAAAGGGAGGAGGCAATAGCGAGTCCTGTGCTTTGGAAGTCCAAGACATGAACGAGCCCAAAATGCCAGTGGATTTTGCCATTGGGAGCCCCTGGGACCTTTGTGTTCCAGCATCTTTGTGAATGTAGTTCCCATGACAAGTGAGGTAAAAAGCCAGACCCTTTACCACAGCTCACACAGGGCTCCACAAGATATGGCCCTGACCCGCCTCTCCTTGCTCCTTGCTCCTCAACAAGGACATGGGCTTCTCCATCCTCGCACACTCCCAGCGTGTGCTTCTTTCTCTACACTTTCTCCTCCTTCTCTCTGCAGCCCTCTCCACCTCATCCGTTCATCTTGTGGCTTCTAGGCTTTCTCCAGCATGCTGCTCAGATTTATCCTCCACAGAAAGA